CACTGTTTGTATAGAGAGTGGGTTTGGGAAATGGAGCAAGTAGGAATCACAGCATTTATTTCCAACACAATGAAAATCCAGTTTTCCTCCCACTAAAAAATAAACTAGGCTTATCAGGCATTGTCTCCCTTTCCTTACCTCAGGGTTTGAAATGCCCTTCTGCCCTTGTACTTCGACACAGTGTGAAAACATTGGGGAAAAAGGCAAGTGTTTTTTTTTTTTTTTTTTTTTTTTTGAGTTTTTCGAGACAGGGTTTTTTTTTTTTTTTTTTTTTTTTTTGAGCTGAGGACCGAACCCAGGGCCTTGTGCTTGCTAGGCAAGCACTCTACCACTGAGCTAAATCCCCAACCGCCCCCCCCTCCCAAAAGGCAAGTTATTCATGCTTTTGTGTTCTTCATGGAAGAACTGTTTGGGCTTGCACAGCTGTGTAACCTGGTGCTTCATTTGCACATCTGTAAACTTGGGGCTGTGGTGATGCTTCATTCGCAGTCATTGAGAGACAGTTAAGCAAGCATAGAAACCAGCCCAGAGGACTTCACACACAAGAATGTGGTAATTGGCTTATATAGCAAGTAAGTGAATGCTACAGTTATTTAACCCAATGCCTGGAACTGAGCAAGATGCCTCTGCAAATCCCCACTGTCAGATTGCTTTTAGGACAGGAGTTCCAAACTACAAGATCGGAAAAAGCTGCATGGTTGCAGAAGTCACACCTTGGCTCCTCCAGTTCCCCTGTGAGGCCCACGGAGTAGTACCTTCTCTTTTCCATGTTAGAACTCAAGGGACAGTGGCACAGGAAGAGCAGAGGGGAGAAGCGAGTATGTAAGCAGGGCGGCAACTGTCCACTGAAGCAGTGCTTGTCCAAATCTCTCTCCACCCCAGCCTGGCTCAGATGTCTCCACCCTGTCTTCATCATAGTCTTACGTGCACCTGCCGTCAGGTATGACGTTACTCTGCTATGCATACCGCAGCACCTGATCTATACAGACAATCCTTCCCATAGAAAGCCGCTCTGCAGCATGGACCAGGAAAGAACTTGGGCAGCAGGAGGGCCCCTCTTGTTGCCACATAAGAAGTAACACATACTTGAGCACCGGTCTTCTCGTTTGCAGATAATGCCGCTCTCCCATTTCTGCCCCACTCTGTGTGTTTACCCCAATGGTCATTTGTCTTGTCTTTGCAGGCTACTTCCTCCCGCCAACCCAGACACCAGCCTCTTCCATCTCGTGTATGTGGATGCCATTGCCATAGCCATCGTTGGATTTTCAGTGACAATCTCCATGGCCAAAACCTTGGCAAATAAGCATGGCTACCAGGTTGATGGCAATCAGGTAAAAAACACCAGTTTCACATGGGTATTTCACTGGGGTGCAAGCACCAAGTTCTGCTGGAGGCGGCAAAGGGCACAGGAGGAAAGCTATTCTGGTGGTGGACATAATGAAGAATGTATTTATGTGACACTACGGTATTCTCCTCCCTCTTCCTTTCATCCCACCCTCCTCTTCTCCCTCTCCTTCCATCACTATTGCACACAAGGTCTCACACTGTGGCTAATGACCTGGAATTCATTGTGTGGCCCATGCTCGCCCCAAAGTCACAACAATCCTCCTGCTCCAGTTTTCTGACTGCTGGGACTTTGTTTTCTCTTTGCTGCCTTCTTTTATAACATAGCTGTGGGTGGGTATTTAATCCAAACGCCATGATCTGTAATCTTGTTACAGTGTCTCTTTTAGCTCACTACATTATTTCACATTTTATGGCAGATTCTTTTCATATGTTATAAAATAGCAAATCTTAGCATAGAATGAGAATCCTTTCTGAGAAAAGTCAAGCAAATATTTATTTTTTATTTCATTTCATTTTTTTTTTTTTTGAGATAGAGTCTCATTATGTGGCTCTGGATGCTGGAACTCTCCCTATAGACCAGGCTGGCCTTGAACTCAGAGATCCACCTGCCTCTGTCCCCCAAGCACTGGGATTAAAGGTGTGCACCACTACACCCAGCTAGCAGATACTTTTTCATTACACAATGACATATTGATTATTTTAGAGGCATGGTCTCACTAAGCTAAGCCTCAAACTTGTGGTAGTATCCTGCCTCAGCCTCCAGAGTGCTGGAATTGCTGGGCATGGACCAGATGTTCCACATTTATATAAAATCAACCTAGAAATTCCAAAGTAGCACTTAGAAAAGGACTCACAGGTCCTAAGAAGGCACTGACATGCATTTCTTCATGAGCAACAGGCCAGACATGTAAAAGATGCCAGTACTCATGCATCCAGAACTTTCTTTTGAGAAGTAATTTCTCAGGGTTTTGTTTTTTGTTTGTTTGTTTGTTTTTGTTTTTGTTTTTGTTTTTGTTTTTGCAGTCTTTTATAAAAAGCACTGTTTGTATAGAGAGTGGGTTTGGGAAATGGAGCAAGTAGGAATCACAGCATTTATTTCCAACACAATGAAAATCCAGTTTTCCTCCCACTATGCAATATGCCCTAATTCCAATTTTGAACTCACGGTAAAGAAACAGCTTTTGCTAAGGGAATGCAGGAAAGCCTGCACCACTGAAGGTGTGTGTGTAATGCACTCCTGTGCTCCTCTCTAAGAGTGACCTGTCTGTCACCTTTGTTTTGTTCCCACATGGGAAAGGAGCTCATTGCCTTGGGGATCTGCAACTCCATCGGATCGCTCTTCCAGACCTTTTCAATTTCTTGCTCCTTGTCTCGAAGCCTTGTTCAGGAGGGAACAGGAGGAAAAACCCAGGTATGTACAACAGTCCTCTAAGAACTGGTGATCTGGCTGGGATTAAATGTCCATCTCTTGATTCTGTCCTGCATCCAAAGTAAGCCACTCTGCCTGCAGGTCCATGCTTCAGTAAGCTGTGCAGCAAATCAGAGAAAGGCATGATTGGGTGAAGCAAATCACACACACACACACACACACACACACACACACACACACACACACACACACACACACAAAACCTGGATCGATAGGAAAGAGGTACATTCTCCAGTTAAATTGGAAGTTATATGACACTCCACTTGCTACAGTAAACCTTAAATGTTCAGACATGAGCTTTTTCTGGAAGCCTGAGACTGAGTATGACCCTCATGAGGCTAGCTCCATGCAACGGAACATCCACACAATGATGGAGGTCTTTATTCTTTGCACCATCCAACATGGCCGCCATTAGCAGCATGTGGCTCTTGAGTGCCTGAAATGTGCCTTTGCAACCAAGACCTTTCATTTTAATTTTTAAAAACTGAAATCATGACATGTGGTTGGACTTGCCATTGGACAGCAAATGCTAGTCTGAACTCATCTGTTCCTGGGTCTCAGGTTGGCACCCAATGCCATTCTCCACCTCTGACAAGAGCATTTGGCCAGGATGTTTAAGCAGTTTAGTTCTGCTTAAAAGCTGCAAGAGGAACTCACTATCAAGGAGGAGGCAAGAGGTGTAGGCTGGAGGTAATGAACTAGAGTTATGAGTTTATGTAACTCACATAAGCTTTGGAAGACTTCTTTAAACCTGTATGTTCTTGATTTTTCCCACTGTGAAAATGGGCAAAATAAGATCAGCCTATGCCTATTTTTGACTCTGGTCTAAAAGACCCTTCCACGTGTCTTTTCGCATCCAGCTTGCAGGTTGTTTGGCCTCGTTAATGATTCTCCTGGTCATCTTAGCCACTGGATTCCTCTTTGAGTCACTGCCCCAGGTGTGTACTGTGGGCTTGATGGGAGGGGGTTCATGCTATGCTGTTCATGTTTTTGTGGCTGTCTTGGAGGGTTGTTGTTGTTTTCTTTTTACTGTAACTTCAGCAGGGTAGTATGAGAAAGGGCCATGGTGATGACCAGATCCTATCCATCACCTACTGACAGCTGCACATCCTTGACCTCCTGCTCACAGTTTCCTTTTCTGCAAAGTCATGTTTGGGCCGGCTGACCCCAAGACACCCTCTCTCTTTGACCTTCCATGACCTTCCATTTTCATTAAAATTCTGAGATGACCTACAACAGGACATTTATTTGCTGACTATATTTAATTTAAGAGAAATCAGAAAAGAAATGGAGTCCTAAGGAGAAAGACCATAGATGAAATAATTCCTGTACCCACAAATTTTATCCTGGACCTCTTAGGTGCCGTGCAGATTTCCTGGTAGGACATACACCTGGTTTTCTATGGCCAGCTTTAAGTGACCAAATGCTGAAAAAGTCTTGATGCCCATAACTTCAAAGCTGTCCTGAGTGCTCCATAAGGACATGTGGAGAAAGGGGGTGGGAAAGGCAGGAGAAAGACGGTGTGGCCAGAGAAGGAGGCTGTGTGGCCACAACTGGAGAGGCATGGGTGGCTGTGTTGTGTTACAGGCTGTGCTTTCAGCCATTGTGATCGTCAACCTGAAGGGAATGTTTATGCAGTTCTCAGATCTGCCCTTCTTCTGGAGAACCAGCAAAATAGAGCTGGTAAGTAAAGGTGGCTGTTAGTTACAGGCCAGCAGCTACCAGTGGTGTGAATACAAATGTGAGAAAGATATTAATGTAGTTAATCGTTGTGTTATTCCGGCGAGGCGCGCATGCACGTGTGTATTTCTTATGGAATTATTAACATGATCCTCTAGACGCTCTTTGACTTTCCTTTAGACCATCTGGCTTACTACCTTTGTGTCCTCCCTGTTTCTGGGGTTGGACTATGGACTGATTACTGCTGTGATCATTGCTCTACTGACTGTGATTTACAGAACACAGAGGTGAGTGCCTTGCTGAAATGGTGCAAGTGTCCTGGGTGGTTTTTTGTTTTGTTTTGTTTTGTTTTGTTTTGACTTTTACCCTTTTCGGGGCCTTCCACTCAGCTCCCAAATAAATACACACAGAGACTTATTATTACTTATAAATGCCTGGCCTTAGCTTGGCTTATTTCTAGTCAGTTTTTCTTAAATTATCCCATCTACCTTTTGC